AGTCCCACTCGATGACGCCCAGAGGTGCTCACCTAAATTTCCCTCGTATTGAAGTCAACAGGCAGTGACGAAACGTACCAATTCTGTAGACGTACAGTGGGCGCGGGTGAGTGCCAGCTGAACATACGTCTAAATATAACGTATGACTCTCACCACTTCATCATTTACCCCGATTCATGTCTCCGCGCCAACAATACCATACCTGAGCACATCGGGAGAGCCAAGGCGCAGGTAAGAGGAAAGGTAAAGTGCTGCTTTTTCACAAGAGTTGGCCGTCAGAAGCCAAAGATCGAATAAGCACTATGAATACTCGTAGTTGTAGAATTTATGATATACTGTTATTCCGGTGTCTCTGCAAAAATATGTCTAATATCATGCACCGGTATTGCCATTCTGCCCTTAATCACAGATAGAGCATTCTTATATTTTGTTACTGCTGTTGACAGCAACCGACATTTCTCCTGATTTCGACAAAGGATGTTGTGTGATTTATTTGCTTGTTTCTTTATATCAAACAACAGGATTTTCAATTATTCTGTATTTTCTTGTTGGTTTAAAAAAATCTAAATAAATAGACTAAGAGGATGTCTACAAGCAGTTTATGACCAACTCATATCTCGCAGAAGTCAAGTGTCACTCTCCCTTGCTTCCCCCCCCCCTCCTCAACGCCGCGTCAGGCACGGTCTCCACGGAGAAGCGAACTTCCCATTCTGTGGTATATTTTACTGCCTTCTCCCTGCGCCATCGGATATGAATTTCAGGCCCTTAACTGATTCAAATTTCTTTTTCATTTGTTAATTCCTTCCCTTGTGTAATTTCTCCCCAAAATAACCCTCATTTGTTACCAAGTAAATTTCCCATGGCCTCATGACAGTTAACAGACGGCTTTTCGCTGTACCGCCTGTCATGGCAACACGGCAGGATAGCGTCATGGCACAAACATTTACGTTTGGCTAACAATATACTTTGGAAAAGCAAGTTGGTGTGTTTATTTTCAGAAGTTCTAGAATGTTGTGGCAAAGTTCGTACCCAGATCGATCGAAATCAATACCATCAATTTACGCTAACGACAAATATTACAATAACTGATAAAAAAATGGATATACAAATAACAAATAAAAACCGCCATTTAAGATTATTCTAGACAGTTCGGATAAGTATAATCTTACATATTTCCTCTACCGGACAACGTAGCGGGCACTCGCGAGGTGGCGGCGGAGGGAGATACAGCGCCCTGGGATACATGCCAGAAATATCTTGGACAGCCTCTCCCTGGGACCCGTGGTTCGTCTCCGCCGCCACCTAATGAACGCACGTTTCATCAAGGCCATTCTTCGTTATACACATATGCGTATGGAAATGTGTGTGCGCACGTCTGTGTGTTATGAATACATACATGTAAGCATTCATACATACATACACACAAATGTGCATATGTACACACATACACGCACGCACACGCACGCACACGCACACACACACACACACACACACACACACACACACACACACACACACACACACACACACACACAAACACACACACACACACACACACACACACACACACACACACATATATAGCTAAAGTTATATACAGGCATGTGTATATATATCATATATATATGTATATATATACATATATACATATAGTTATACCCAGATATATATGTATGTATATGTACATACACATATACAGATACATTTACATGAATACATACATACATACATACATACATACATGTACACACACAGACACACAATATATATATATATATATATATATATATATATATATATATATATATATATATATATATATGTACACACAACACATATACATATATAAAATATGTATATTTATACATATGTATGTACATACATACATATATATGTATATATACATATATATACATGTGTATGTATATACATATATATGTACATATATATACATATACAGATACATATACAGATACATATATATATATATAATTTATATCTATATTTATATTTATATAGATAAATAGATAGATATTCGTGCATACATCTATAAAGTGTGTGTGCCTGTGAATTATAATGACATTTCCGAAATACTTCCTGTATATACATACTGTTATATTATTTTGTTTCAGATTTTTTTTATAGTCTATTTGTTTCAACACCACCGAAGGATTGTAGTTGTAAAGTAATGAAAGTTTGAAATATTCATGACGGAATATAGACAAAGCATATTTAGCGTAACTTTTATTTAGATTCCATCATAAAAACAATGTATTTTAAATATCAAAAAAAAAAAAATGGTATACAACTTAGGCCGCAACCAAACTCATTAACAAGTTAGCGGAGGAAAAATGGCACCAAAACACCGCTTGGAGAAAAGCCAACAGCGTCAGCCCTTCAGAACTTACTTTCCGGCCTTTGCATAATTCTCTAGCCCCCTCCCCCCCTCCCCCCCGTCTCCTGACAAGCCTCAAATGTCCATGGATTAACTCATGGCATGGTTACGATACGGCGCAGTATCCATGGCCCCATCGCACCTATGGATCTTAAAAGTCCCTAAAATATTTCATTTTCAGGACAATAATTCTCAACCTTGGATAAAATGGATTCGGGTATTTCGGGCTTTGACAAAACGGCCTTCAAAACAACAAGCTTTCCCGGGATGTTTATGGTGTAACAGGCTGTTTGGGTATCTAGGGGGGCGCCACCCCTCCCCGGCTCCCGAGGAGGTATTTTTAAGCACACTCTCATGGGCATATAACTGGGTGATGGCGACTATGAGTCTGACTCACCTGGCTCTCTTCGTGCCTTATATGGCCTCTTCCTCCATACCCTCATTATATTAATTATTGTCAAATGTCGTCACAGCCATTACACGGATAGTCGGTCTCGTGTTAATCACATTCTCTGACACTTGGAAGAACCTTCTGGTACTTCGCTCTCATCAGTCTTATATCGAGCATGACAAACTTCGTAATTTCATGAAAGATAAACATTTTGATATCCGCCACAATCAAAGAAATTTTGTTCCGAGTTGCAATACTTCAGGTTAGCTATATACGGGGAAAATGCATTAAGGTGATAGCGATCTGTTCTAAGCAAAATGCCTGATATAAACAAACCGTCTCTTCTGAGTGCGTAAGTGCTAGCATGCATGAATGATCATCCGTTCATGTTTATACGGATATAATAATTAAATGAACATAAGATATGAGAATTTTGCCAATATAAGAATCTGATACCGAATAATTTAGAAAGAGTAAACATGTACACTCTAATCAGAACGAATTCAAATAGTCTTTGCTTCAGAATGGAAAATTAAATCTAAATTCGATCTCAGCCCTTTCTTTGTTTTCCCCTTTAGATTTTTACAAGTTTAAAGGAAAAAAAAAATCAGAAAGACGAAAAAGAAACTTTCTCGTCTTTAAAACTATACGAGACATTCCAATCTGTAAAACAGTTATGTTTTTTTTCAGAATCAACTAGATAAAGTAAGTTCTTCCTAGCATATATCCGTGAATACTGGTACATGTCAGTGCAATGTTGTATAGTGCAGCTTTTGTTATTAAGTACATTTCATATGTGCAGAAGCTTAGTTAAAAGTGTGAATATCTGTTTGATTAGCGTTGCTGTATACATGATGTTAAACATTTTGTGATTAGTGTCGCTGTAAGTGTGAAAACTAAGAAATGGAGGCATAGAATGCCTTGATTAGTGTAGCTGTGAGTGTGAAAGTGCAGCATCGAGGCATAGAGTGCTTTGTGATTAGTGTGGCTGAGTGTGCGGGTCTAGTTCTGTCGCCTTGGTTAGGTTTAGAAGACAGAAGGAAATCAAATAAGCAGCAGTACAAGAGCAGCTTTCTTTCCGCCTCGCGCTTTGCAGCATAAGAAGATAAGTACCGTAGAAGGACATCTTGGTCCCGGAAGTCACCCTCGTCTCCTTGCTCTCCATCTCTCCCTCCTCCTTCCCTCTCTCTCACTTTTATCTGTCTTTCTCCTCTGCTCCCTCCTATCAACCCTCTTCCAGCCACTCCAGACGATGAACTGCCTCCCGCTTTCCCCTCGCGCCGCCCGGGCCTCGGTGGGCGGGCCGAGGGGAAGGCCAACCACGCCCTCGGTGTCCAATATGGGCGGTGACTCACTTCACCCTATGCCCAATTGAACGCCTTCCAGGGTATTCCATTTTTAAATAGTTTTGGTCACGCGTAGCTCATCACCATGAATAAAGTATCGGAGTGCAGGGCAACCGAAACACGTGCTCTCCCGCTTGAAAAAAAATGTGACGGACTTAAAGAAATCGCACGTATAAAGCGGCATTTCCCAATCAAAGACGAATCTTTGGCAAAAACTAAAAGTGTAAGGGGGGAATTAATTAAAAACATTCTGTGTGCCTTGCACACACGAGACTTTAACCATGTTTTGGCATCACTCACAACCAAGCATTGTTATCACTAACTGCCTTTATATAAGGACTCCTATAGGCTTTATCCTATAAGCATCTGGCAAGCTCGTCAAGCTCCGTGACGAAGCATGTGCGCTTACACGTCTATATCATGGAGAAAATTCAAGTGCGCATGCGTGTCGCTGGTTCTCTGCGAACGCTAATTTTGGCCGCGAGGGTCTGCCACCACGACTACTTATATTTGCACTTTGTTGCGTGTCTCAGTGCAACATTAGTGCCACTCAATGGGACTTTTTGCTTTTTTCTTTATATCTAACCATGCTTATCTGTGTTAGAGCTTACATTTAAGTATGTATCTCCGTGTTCTGTTACTACTCATCTGGAACACTAGACTGTGGAAATAAAAAAGAAAAGAAAAAAAGGTTATCCATCACCGGAAATAGCTCTCTCAGTTCCTGGTGATTTGGAAATCTAGATCGTCTCTGTGATTTATTCAAACGACGAAGGTGTTAAGCGAGTTTTTTTTCTATCATATAACAGTATTGTGTAAAATGCCTTTCTAACGCAACGTGGACTCAAATCGTAAAGACACGGTCGGG